AGAGCGGGGACGAGGAGGTGGAGCGCGTCCTGGAGGTCGGCGGCGGATGCCTTAGCTCGATCGGTGGGGAATTGATGCCGCAGGGGCTGTTTTGGCTGCTGCTCGTCGTTGTCGTCGACAGCACCGGCGACCTGCTCGACAGGACGCTATTTTTACAAATCAAGTGGCTGATCCTCGGTGAGGGGACTCGTGCATTGCGAAAGTGAGCCATTACGTACGCCTCGTTGCGATACGCCCGCGATTCGATAATCGTGTATTGTGATTAAGGGACTCAAGCCCAAATATGCTATGCATATGATGTCGAAGGTCGACAATCGACGTTATCTTAGTGAGATTTATTTTTATTTGAAGGGTTTGGTGATTTGGATAACGTATGCTTTTTCGACAATTTAAACATCAAATTGATATTTCTAACGTCATTAAGTATATCAATATTATTTATGACAATGACAACCAGGTAACTGAAAATTGCCTCTTATTGGCTATGAGTGCAATATTTCATTCATATTTTGAATATTATTTGCAGTAGTAAATTTGCAACGATTTACTCGGCAGTCTTCTTTATAATAAACTCATATTCAAATATTTACACGTATTTGTATGAATATGTAAATTATTGTATATATAAGCAATTACTCTATAATAGGTCATTTGGGGGCACAGATAATTTTCTATCAATAAACCTACTATGCAACTAATTTATTAGGTGCACGTTAAATCAAGTTTTGTCAAAACATTTAGTGTTCACATATGGATACTAACAGTTTTTACAATATTTCAGATATACATTTGTGAAAGAATTGTACCATCATTGTGGAAATATTTCTATCTATTATGTGTCTTTTAAAAATTTCCATTCTTGTATAAGGATGATTGATATTTTTATTTATGAAAAATATCATTCTTAACGTCAAATAGTACTTACTTTTAATGAATATTATAAAAGTTATAGAAATATTAATGTCAATGATATTTGATCATCTAATACAGAATATTACTTTACTTTCGTTACGATTAAATATCGAATCTGTGTGATAAAAATCATTATAACTGACGACTCCCCGGGCTAAAGTAACTGATAATCAACAGCGTTCGACTATGCGTACACGAATCAATAATAATATTACCCCTCAGTTTAGTTGATATTATTTTTAATACATAGGCAGCACTTCGTATTTACAACCATATAAATTTAGAACTATTTTAATTGTTTTAATTGATTTTTGTTTGATATTTTTTTGCATGCTTTTTTTCTTTTTGTAGTTTCTTAATTATTCGATTATTCAATTATTATTTCATGTATCCGATGTGATGTATATCTGTCTTTTTATCGATTTCATTCAAGATATAAAGAATATTTTTAAGTGAAAATAATTGTTCCCTATCTTTATTAAAACCTAACAATATATGAGGGCACTATCGTAATTGGTTATCGTAATTCTTTGATAAAAATATTATTATACGTGTATAAAAAAGTAAATAAAAAAAATTATATTTGTATATTTTTATATATGTGTAATTATATAATAATTATATAATAATTGTAATAAAAATTATATATGTGTATTTTTTTTTTAATCGCGTATAAATTATTCATCAATAACGTGTTTATAAAATTTATTTTATACGTAATGGTTTGTGTTTTATTTATGTTGATTCTTCGCGAATAAATAAATTCATAAAATATTAATGTAAAAGCCAATTGACATCGTATGATTTATTATAAGCTCTAGAATTATAAATTTGCATATAAATGATTAAATAATTTTACAATTTAACGTGTATGCATTGAGAATTATTGTGCTAATTTCGTAAATTATTGTTTTATAATTGTGGAAAAATTGAAATGAAAAATATATCTCAAATATAATATATCATCAAAAATGCATGTAGATTTTGTAATTTTGAAAAATTAATCACTAATCACTTATGAAAATGTTTCTACAATAGGGTTTCTCGTTTTTGCGAGAAATTATTCAGAACATTATATTTGTAAGACATCGATGTAGTCATACAAGTGAGCAAGTGGTGGAATTTCAGTGTATTTACAGTGAAGCTATAGTAATAGAAAGATTAGAGACACGTAGCACTTAATGTATTAAACCTATGTTTACTTGGACTTTCGGCCTTTCAAATCAGCTACGAAACTGCAAACTGCCAATAAAACACCACATAGAGTTATGAAAATTAATGCTATTATTTTTTATATTACTGGATCAGTCAACATATTTACATAACGTTACATTGTTGTGTTCGTGATGATATCGAATACTAGTTTCGCCGCATTTTATTTAATTTAAAATTCGAGAAGAAGTATATTTTATGAATTGTATATCAATTAAAAATATAGGATTTCATATATGTAATAGTGTATATCACGCAGTGAAAGGATATGCATAGAAAGATGAAAATATTCAATTGATATTATATAAATGAACGAGTATAATGTAATATGCTATATGGTTGTAATATACTTTTATTTTTTAATATATTTTGGTTAAATTAATTACATCGAAACTTTAAATAGCAACATAAGTAGCAGATTTTCTTAAAAATCAATTTAAAATGCTACGAAAAATTAATCATTATTATAAATTATAAATTATTAATATGGTAATTTTTATATGTATTGCGTTACTGTTATGTATAGCAATCGAGAAACTATCATACTATGTAAATGATGTATACCGATTATGATTTAAGAAATGTGTTAAAAAAAATTTGTACACCTGTGCGCATTAAAAGTACCACGTGACTTTGTATTTGTAAAAACATATTCGCCACCTACTACGCTCCTAAGGTATTGCATTATGTACAAAACTTAATTTAGATGTCCCGTATTGCTTATTTGCTTAATCGAAAGTGATCAGTGCTAAGTCGAAGATCTTATTATGTTTCGTCGCGATGCTATTCATACCCTTACTAGTTTGATCGCGTATTTATTAAATCGTCCATTCAATAAGTTTCGATTATATTTGAAAATACTCGGCGTTTTATCACGTGGAAATTAGCAATAGTAGTAGTATTAGTAGTAGAACTAGTAGTAAATAGTGGTAATGGTTGTGGTAGAAGTAATAGTAAAGAGTGCTCTCCGCGTGCGCCAGGGTGGGGGCGATGGAGTGACTATCACCTGGGTGCTTCGACAGAGGCGCTAATGGTCATGCATGTCTGACAGGGCGGCGTCGGCGACGCTTGGGCAGGCGGACGCCGCCTGGGAACGCAGCCGGCACATCCATCCCACCTGTCGGGCGGCCGCTTCTTCTTGGGCGGCACCTTGAGGAACCTGCGAGCGCAGCTCGGCCCCTCGGAGGAGTCCGTCGAGAAGCCCGAGACCTCGTCCTCGGTGTCGGGCGGGCAGTTGGCACGGCGCGCAGCCTCCTCGAGAAACACCGAGTCCGAGCCAATGGAGCGAGAGTCGGGGTCCGGTGGATCGACGCTGCCCATCGAGGCCAGGGGTGCACGACGTCGCGAATATTGTTGCTGTTGCTGTTGTTGCTGCTGTTGCTGCTGGCGCAAGGCCCCGTATAGGCCGACCTCACTACCGCATGGCGACAGATCTGGCGTTGGCTGGATCACCTGTTTACACGAGATCGGTGTGTCTTCAGACTGGACGTTATCCTCCTTCTTTTCCTTTCCCCTTCGATCATTTAGATTTGCGCGCAGACCGGGACTTTGTATTCGAGTCGTTTAAAGCTGACTAGCGAGAACGAAGAGAACGAAAGTCCATATGGGAAACGAATAATTTTTAGTCGATTACGAAGCGTTGCGTTTCCGATTAAATTGACTTTCCTCAAACCTTCACATTTCAATTAAGATCGTAGATTAAGTTGATTTTTGTCGATAATCAAATAAGCATTTTATTGAAATGGTAATTCGATATTATTAACGAAACTATTAATGATTACCATTTGTGTTTTTCGTATGAGGAAACGAGCCTCAAATAAAATTCCAATGCGATCGTATACGATTTCAATTGATGCAAATTTTTTTTTTATTATTATTCGATTCTTGACGATTAATACAATTAGCAAATTGTTAAAGAAAATTGTTTTGTTGAAAGTTATGACATTTGCTGTAGACTAGTTGTAAAGTATAGGTCAAGCGAAACAGTAAGCTTACAATAATTTGCAATTTAAGTTGTACTTTCAAGATAAAGATTTACCAACCTTCTTTCTTTTTTTTTTTAACCAAGCAATGATTTTGGCATTTTTAGTAAATGGAACATTTTTATTATTCTATTGTTCAGCACTTTTTATGTTGAAAATGCCGAATACGCGAAAAGAAGCCAGAGAGCTTAATTTACGAGAGCTGAACAATACTGCAGTCTGCTTCACTTTCCTTCTATATCCCTTCCCCTTATATTTCATCAGGATGAATGAATTTTGTTCTACGTCTTTTCTTTGAGAGACTAAAGGAGAGACATAAATGCAAATACTGTATCTTAGAAAATCTTAGAAATTGATAAGTGATAGAATTAGTGTCAATATTCTCGAGGCCGTATAGTTATACAACGCGTTAAATCGTTTACACAGCGACGAAGACTAAAATGTTTATATACTGAGAATTGATTAGAATACATAAATAGCGAGGCTAAAAAGAAAAATGATAAGATTATTTGCGTTCGGTTAAATCTCGAATTAAATCGATATTTTCTTCATCGATCGATTTATTTCATTAGTAATTGTTGTCACGGAGATAGCATTGGTAAATTAAACATATGGTTTTATTGAACAAATAAATGCAGGACATTGTATTTGAATTATATTAATAAAACAGTGCCTGTGCATTGCAAAATACCGTAATAATACCGGAAGAAGAAAAACGATTATTCGATAATTTATAAAAAAAAAAAAAAATTTTTTTCATTTAATAAGCTTACTTTGCAGTAGTTTATTTATTACAAATTGTTTATTACAAAGCTTCGGAAATATTTAAGATGGATTTGGAAATATGCATGAAAAATTACGTTATTTAAGCAAAGCATAGAGAAGTAAATTATAAAATTATTATTATTGTTATTATTATTATTACAATTATTGCATATATATATATATATATATATATATATATGATAGCGAATAATATATAGTATAATAATAGAGGAGAAATAGTCGGAAATGATAATCACAGTGCGGCTAAAGTGTCCTTTAAATGTCCATTTGCCATAGTGAAACGTAAGCTCAACAACAGTAAAACTTTGCTGACTCGTGCGGCGATTTCCCCAACGACGCATGGGGAGGCCATTCTACGGGTACGCTAACATATTCAACGTCCTACCTTAGTCATCATCGTCCTTCCATTGTCCTTCCAGGCGCAATACAGCGCTGCTTACTACTTATATCGTGAGGGTCCGTACCTGAATGTCAATGGGGTGATAGAAGTCCCAGGGCTCGTCGTAAGCTGGATGCTTGGGGAAGGACGAGGGCGGTGGCAGACAGGGCATCACCATGGCCGAGCCCCGGCGCTCGAGGTAACCGCTGGCGGTGCTGCTGCAGGTGACGGAGCTGCAGCGCCTGTTGCCCCCGTGCCTGCCGCCCTCGGGCCTCATCGGAGCAGCCAGCAGGGAGTCGTAGCCACCCCCGACGGAGGCGAACCGCGGACCGACCAGCGGCATTCGCGACTGCACCACCTGTACCAACGAATGAAATTCCGTCAGGTGCCGTTACGTTTGCAATATAACAGCTTGTCATGCGCGTCACGATTCTCTCTTCTTCCCGTCTGCTGGATGTGGTGTATCCTCGCACGACTATCCTTTCCACGTTTGAAAAAAAAAAAAAGAAAAAAGAAAAAAAAAGAAAAAACCCACTGCACACGAAACTCCCACGGACTTTATACGCATGTATGTGGCTATGCAGGAAGTGCGATCACCTTACACTGTAGCGGTAATAATTGTAATTGCAGGATGGGGGATTTAATTATCTAACGGATTGCTAAGTAATTTCAATCCAAGTTCGATTTGTTCTGTCGCTCGTGTGTCACAATACGAGTCATTTAAATGAAATTTAACATGCGATTACCATTGATAAGTATTGCCACGGGCAGTAAAATTTTTAATAAACTAAACTAACCAAATGACAAATTAAAAGTCGATTTTGAAATAAGAACCATTTATTTGTTTCTTTAGCACAAGAGTCTAAGTTTCGAAAGAGCAATTTTTATATTAATTTTTTGCGTTCGTTTTTAGCATAATAAATTTAATAACCGAAGGTATAGCAAGTAACAAGGCAGATAAACATAATAAAAACATTTAGCTTATATTTGCCTATTTTGTTTCAGCAATGCAAACAATGATTTTGAATTTAATTAGTAGAAATTTCTTTCCTCGCCAGAATGTATCAGGTCGGTAATATTCGTTTGATGACATATTTTCAGTATTGCATCGGCTCGGCTATTTAATACAAGTTTGAAGTTGCATTAAATGTTTTCATTTGCAAAATAATGTCAATTCGTCAACTTTTTCGTTGATATAATTACGTTGAAATATTTACGTTGATTGATGTCAACTTAAAATTAAGAAATGCTAAATTCTTCGCAGAGTTATTTCACAGAGTTATAACGACACTTAAGTAGATGGATTAAACAATCATCTTCTCTCTTATGTCGTGGAAAGTAGAAAAGTCACGAACTAGCTACGGACTAGTGATTTTCGTATTCCCATACCTTCCATTATAAATATAAATTATAATTACCATCTTTCTAATGCGTTTATCATTGTGTGCGAAGCAACGCGTAGAACCTTACACAGAGCCAATGTCGCATCATTCATTGTCTAGAGTTATTTATTAACTTTTTAGGTTTTACGTATATAAGCAATTAAGTTTACGAAGAAAGACGGCAAATGGGCGGATTATAATTATTGACGAGGTATCTCACAATGATAAAACATAAATATTTATCCCTCTAATTGCCAATTGAGTCTTGGCAGAATTTAATCGTTCGTTAGACAAGATTGCAAAATCCGTCTTTCTTACAGCGATAAATTTTGATTTTAAATCCCAATCGCAAGTTAAGCTCGGTCGCGATGATGAAACAGGAGCATAGCGTCGGGGGCACAGTGCCTCACGAAGAGCTCGGAAATTCCAGGAGGATAAAATACGATTTAGCCGAAAAGAGGGAGTTGGAGTTCAGGGATGAATCCCAGGCGTACGACGTACGAATCCCAGGTGGTTGGTTGGCTTACCTCGACGCAGAGCGACCTCCTGGGCCCGCGGGCGGGTTTGGGCGGTAGCCTGGCGATGGCCTCGAGGGCCGCGGCGAGTGCACGTTCCTCGGCTTCGGCCTCTGCGACCGCCGCAGCAGCCGCTGCCGTTAGTCGCGGGTCCTCCAGCTGCCTGTTCGACTTGCACCTGCGCCTCGCATATGAAATTCTTTTATTCCAAGATGCGTGTCACTTCGCGTTGGCCTAAGCGCGTGGAATGGGGTAGCTCATCCACGCGGATAATGCAAGGAATTTGAGTCGTAAGGAGTCGCGCGGAGTACGTGATCGAGAATTTTATTGGGTCAGGAGAATCGCGACTAATATGAAGAAATAACAAGTGCTTATGTATATTGAATCTGACGGGTAGACCGAGCATTGTTGTGCACAAAATCGATTAATTTACGGGGATTTTAAAACTTTGCATTTTGAAGAATTAGTGATTGCTTTTGACGTTTGAAGAACGAATTATTAGCGCGAGCGATGAATTTTGAAAATTGTTCGACTTTGGCTTTTGTAATCGGACTCGATTATAGCTGTGATTAAAAAACTTTTTTCTATTCGGTCACAGTTTCACTATTGACAAGGAGAGTACGTGAGTTGGATTTTAATTCGCTTCTCATATTCAATTTTACATATGCATTTGAAATTTACAAGCCGTGAAAATTCATACTAATGGACTCAACTTTTGAGCGATTATCACTTTACCATAAACTCGTTAGCTTAACTTAATAAATTGTGAAATGACAAAAATTTTTAAAAAGATCCTTCCTATTATTATAATAAAGAAAATATGAATGCGATTAACATCTATTTCCATCTATTCAAAAAAATTCATAAATATCTTACGCCATCTGAACTCTCTTTATATCGATATACATTTTAATTTTGTAATGATAATGTCATGTAAGTTTTAACATCAAAGTCTTTTATAGCTTTAGTTCGTTAACTTTGTAAGCTATCATTAAATTAAATTTCAGTTTTAAGATTTTCGATGATTCTATGAGTTTATTGCTAACATAATGCTCATTTAATGTTTCTTTGGAACGAAAAGAAGCAACGGGAATATAAAACTTTTAACCATTTAAGGTATTGGAGAACTATGGCGTTGATTTTCATTAAAAATTACGAATCGTACGGAAAGAATGTAAAAATTTTTTTCAAACTTTCTACACAACATTTAAATTAATTAATGTAATTACTAATAGACTGATAAAAAATAAAATTGATATATGGATTAAAGGTATGATTATAATGCCTTCAAATAACTTGTACTCGAAAATTATTTCACACAAGTTTTAGGTACAACATCTATATTCCATGCATTGAAATTCGTTAAAGAGATTTATCCGCTTTATCCTTTATATATGTAATTTGGATGAAAAATTGGATGAACAGAAAGGTAAAAAAAGAGAAAAAAATGGAAGAAAAAAAAAAGAAAAGAAAAATAAGAAAAGAAAAATAAGAAAGAAAGAAAAAAAAAAGAAATAAAATTAAGAAAACAAGAAAAAAAGTACTAAAGCACGAACGAAGAAACGGGGCATACAGTGCCAAACAGAGAAATTAATAAAAAATTTTAAGTTGATATCCTTAGAATAGTTCCTATTCTCTTTAAAGGCAAGCATTCGAATTCCATGCCAATATAAATAGCACAAGATTAAAAAGTTTATAGAATAAATGGACTATTTTAAGCATATATAAAGTTAAGAAAGCACGGACAAAGTTTCCATAATGATACTCGGAGATGATTTATCCCCTCGTTCATCTATACGTACATATAAAGTGTGGCCAGACGAGGCCTAGACACGTTATTCTAGCCAAGATTAATCCCACGACTAACAACTTTATCTCAATTTAAATTTGAAATATCTTTGACATAGTTGAAAAATACTTAACGATATTCGGAATGAACAGAGCATAAGACATTATTTCTTTAACCCAAAAGTATATCGGATTTCATGCGGTTTTCATGTAGATTCTCGGCCCCATTAATGCTCTTCACCACGAAGCTCTTTAAATCGGACATTTAACGACGACGAACTTTTAAACGAGTGAGCTTTAAGGGATGCGCGTTTCGGGGTCGCGAATATAATGCTTACCTGCTCTTATAAACGACCAAGAGGACCATGAGGCTAAAGAAACCACCGAGCGTCGCGGCAATCCTGACCCCCGTCATCACGTCGTAAGTCTTGTAAAATTCGATTTTCAGCTGCTCCCGCTCGCTGAGCGTCGGCGTCACGTTTGGCACGGACGTCGTCGGACTCGTTGGCGTCGTCGTCCCCGTCGTATTGCCGCCGACACTCGCCATATCTGAAACGCCACAAACGAAATGCTCATTAGTAATCCTCCGTCATTTGACGCTCGATTTATTACCCCTCGGGGATTCCCGGCCAAACGTCGGATCCTTATGCAGTTGGACGAGCGACTGAAAGTCAACGACTTCCTGTCAATTTTCAACGATATGCGCGAATTATGTATCGACTCTTTCAAAATAATGGACAACTATACTAGATTTCTCATTATTTCATTTACTTCGATTATCAGCTGAGATCTGCGTAGACCAGCGGAAGCGTAAGTGATCGAATAAGTGCGAAGTAAGTTTCAAAACATTCCCGTTCACTATCATTGTTCATACGTGCATAGTTATTGTATTTCGTATATGTCGTTCCTATTATTATTTTATCACTTTGCATACTTTGTTAAAGCACGCGAGAATTTTTAACAACTCTTGAAACAGAATTGAGCGTTGGATTTAATTGATGTAGTTAAAAAAAAAACAAAAAAAAAATTAGAATTTTATCCATTAAGCTTTTAAAAAACTTCTATTTTTTCGAACCTTTTAGATAAAATATAATTAAAAAAAAATATATATATATATATCATTCGCAAGCACTGTGCAGTCGCTCTTTTGTCGATTCTTAAAATTATACAAATTTATTTCTTTTTATTTATTACAATTGTCAGGGATTTTGGTATGCATTTTTTTTTTAATTCCGTTTTGTTTTGTTTTGTTTCGGAAGCAAGGATAATAAATTTGCTACAACGTATTCAATGTTCGATGTCACGTTGTTTTCGCATTGGCTTTCTTATACTGATTTTGTCTTGAACAGAATCCTCGATGCCAGCTTAAATTCTTTTGCTACTTGATTGGATTTCGGGTGTTTCGATGTTTTCATAACTTTTCGAGGAACTGGGACAGTACGCACTAAGTCACAGTATCTGTGCTTTTCAGGATTTTATCCACAGTCTACTCGGTCAAGTTAATTTTTTCGTCACATATACCACTAATATTGCCCATATTATAGAACTTTAATAATTCCATCATATATTTTTCAAGAAGATATAATAAAATGAAATTATTCATCATCCATTTTTTTTACAACTAAATGATAAAGAAAAAGAACCCAGAAGACTTAATAATCTTAAAACTTTTTATATGAAATTTATTCTCAAATACTGCATTTTTAGTTATAACGTTTAAAGTCGAGACAACGTAATTAAACAGAACTTTTTGTTGCTGATTTATTTACGTTTCAGTTTCACTGTATAAAGATAAATGTAATTTTATGTCAATGTATAATAGGGATATCGATCAGGATAACGTGCATTAACGGCCAGCTTCAACACCCCGTAAATATGTCTTTTAACAGATTTTAATAGATTTTTTGGGAAAAATTACGGTGATGTTATCATCGCTATTAGTAGGCAATAAGAACTTAGCAACATTGATGTAGACAATTTCGTAATTAATAAATTTGGATTTTGTATCCGAGTCATTATTAATTTTTTTCTTTCGGTTATTTATTCACGTTAAAAATGTTAAAATCTTAATAATTATAAAATACTTTTCGTTTATATTTATTTTTATTTATTTTTTTTAAACATTTGCGACCGTTTTCGCAACGATTTATGAATATGTATAATTTTTCATTATAATAAGCTTTTTCACAGAGAATTTCATTCTAATTCTAACACAATGTTAATGAATTTTTATATATTTTAATTTGATGTTTATTCAAAAATCCGATTAAACATTAAGTAAATATTTTCTTTATAAATAAATAAACTTGATAAACGAACTTATGTCCTTATAGTATTATGTAATAACGCATAAAACATATATTTAACGTATTTTAGAAAAACTTATTCTTTTTAAATTGTGTAAATTATCATCGTACGCGGTTTTTGGCGGATTACGAGAAAAGTCTCATCGATGTATAATATGCTATTTTATTTTATACTTATAAGCCATGTAACGGCATATCGAGAACCTGTTGTATAGTATACGATATAAGTCGATGAAATATTTATTCTTTACTGTCTTTTGTGAACTTTTGAAACAGTATAAAATATATTTTGGTGGAGCACCGGGGATTGTGGATGATACAGGCGCGAGTTCCACTGTGTTCCACAAATATCAAAGATTGACCGACTTTAACTTGTAATAATTTAAAAACTTATTTTAAATATCGTTTTATCGTTGGTTGCATCTATATAAGGAACATTTGGCTTGGCAATTCTTTTAGATTTTCATTCAAATATCTAATGCATTTGCTTAAAACGAGTAATTTGAATAGCATTTTGGCTTGATGATTTGCAATGTATTAAATCTCCGTCAATATAGAAATTCAAAGAAACTAGGGCATTATTAATATAATTCGTCATTGATAGAGTTCATTTCTTCATTAAAAGAGTTAGTAAAACAATAAATTTCTTTTTTTTTTTTTTTTTTTTTTTTTTTGATAATACTTTTCATCGAAACTTATAAAAATTCATTGAATCTTTATGCTTTTGAGCCATTACTTACATTAAATACAAAAATTAAAATTGATATCGATTCTTACACGACAATGCTTACGAATGGCAAACTGAAGATCTTAGAAAGTAATGTATTGATTGGAATTGATCGATACATATGAATGTGAAAAGAAAATCGCATCAATTGAAACAGCGCGATCGATAGATCAGTTTGAGCATTAGTCAACATAAATTGATGCCAATACACAAATATATGTAATATAAATTGTATTCAATATTTTTATATTTAATCTACTTATGAAGGTAAAGAAATGTTTTTAATTATAAAATGCAAACATTTATCATATTTATCAGAACTTTTTTGCATTTATGGAAGAAATTTTTAATATATCTATAAGAAAATTATACTATATTTTGGATTTTTTATATGTTTGTTGATTGACGTAGTAATGAATTAAAGACTTATAGACGATTTGATCTAGCGTCAAATGAAATTTCATATGTGAAAGGTACATCTTCTGGACATGCAAATAATTTAAATATTGAAAGATTCGGGAAAATATAGAAACATGACTAAGCTTAAACAGCGTTCGAGTTCAGCTGTTAAGCAGCTTTCGGTACAAGTTTCTCTAATGTTGTTGTGAACTTTAAGTAAAATATATTAGAAAAGTATCTTAGAAAAGTAATATAGACTTTTTATAAGCTCAATTATTTTATATTACAAATGTCACCGCTGATATTACAAAAAATAATATTCCCTTAAGAATTAGGTAATGTAGTATATAGTTTTGAAGCATTTCATTTTGGAATCATAAAACAAAATTGTATTGAAAATGGAATGATATAGGATTGGCACAATGAAGTTTTGTAAACATACTCTTTTATTCAAAAGTTTTATAACTTTCCGAGTCTTTTATAAAGAAGCATAATAAATCAATATTCCCTATAGGATGTCGAAAATATTTAAATTATTTATTTTATTCTACTCTCACTTATACATGTTATGTATTGGAATATGATGATGAATCTATGTATGATAAATTTATATTGTTAATTTGTACATTAATAATAATTAATATAAATTGTTGAATTAAACATATGAAACAATGAAATGATGTTGAATACCTTCAATTACCGTGTAATTACAAATTTCTTCTTTTTTTTTTTTTAATTTTAATAACGTTAATAAATGTAAATTAATTAATTATTATATAACTATTTTTTTTTAAGATTTAATTTATATAAAGAAAACAATATTTAATTATTTCCATGAAATAAATAGAAATTGGCTCTTGCTTTATTTTTATATGTTCAGTATACCAACTAGTTGTTCTGTTTTTATTTCTATTATGAAAATTACAGCTCAACCAAAAAGGTAAAAATACACAAATTAAATTTAATTGTATCTCCTAGTGATTATTGCAATTTGAAAATTCGTACTACATGAGTTATCGTTTTTTTTTTTTTTTTTTTTTTTATTAAATACCATCAAGTTTTTATTGTTTTGTTGCTTTTTGAAAACTCTTATCTATTTTGATGAGTTAATCTTGCAAATAATAATTATCAAAGTATAACATTCGTAAATTTCTTTATATTATTATTAATAAATTTTAAACACACATACACGCACACGCATCTATCTATCAAAAAAACTTTTTTAGATCTTTTTTGGTCGTACATATGTTAAAAAAAAAAAAAAAAAAGAAGAAAAAAAAATTAAATTAAACCTACTTTATTTCTTTTCAAAATTAATTTTTCATAAATAGAATGAGATTAAAAATTAAGTAGAACGTGAAATTTTTTATTCTGTCATTTCGTTATATATTTAGAACGAAAGGTTACGATTGTCTCTTACTAAGCATTTAGTCTTGTCTGCATACTGTTGTAGAAGTAAGTGAAAATGAGGCTAGAGCTGCTAAATTTGTTTAAGATAAAATGTATATTTTTATGAGAGAAGTTTATCGATTGCATTTCTCTAAATCTGCAATACACACTTTCTATTCTATACATAAGCTACGTAGTGCGCTTGCTAGAGAGTGCGTGTACTTTTTTTTGTGTAGTAAATACTTGCTATGGAGTATTTGAAATTTTGATCAATGTTTGATTAGAGTTTGCGGAAAGTTTCACATCGAGTTTTAAATTCCTATCTACATGCAGATGAATTAAAATTTTGTTGAAAGAATGCGATATAAAGGAACGTGGGCCCTGTTATGGCAATCTAGTAAACATCCAACGGCATTTTTTAAAATGTACTACCCAGTGTCTTCGGGAAGTTTCATCTCGCTGTCCTTCCCAGTGCCATCCATCTGAAATGGACCGGCAAGCCGGTAGACCGCGGACTCACGTGCGACAAATCACGGCGTCAAAGCTCCTCGGGCTCGCGTGACCCAGAAAAAGGCTTGGATTTTCGTCGACGTGAAAACTAGGTCGAGGATCGGCTGCGAGTGAATTATAGATGGCTGGGCGGTGGGGCGGGGGCCGTGCGGAGCAACAGGAAAAGGAGCCGATGAAAAAGGGATTAGGCCGCGGGTCACGGCGCCGCTGGTTTGGTG